AAACTGGCAAGCAACTTTTTCTTGCGAACATCTTACACTAACGGTTTACGAATAGTCTCTGTATTAACACTAAATTCATCTACCATCATCCCCACAGTCAAACAACGATCTTCTTGTACCCGTTCTCGGAATTTTGCAATTCGTTCCTCATTACGAACAGAAATTGGCCGTCCAGACGTCGTTGCATTAGTAATCATTTCCACACTATTTTCGAATCGTGAATACCAGCTAAAAATCTGTGCACGAGATAAACAATTATCCACATAAACTTATCGCATCAATTCAACTGCCTCAGTAGCACTTCTTTTTAGTTTTAAACAGAATTTAATGTCACCTTTTTGTGTTTGCTCCATACTGATTACGTAACAATGCGCCTCTGACTAGGTTAATAAAATGGCGGCTTGTTGTCTGCTTATCGGGCGGCGATAAAAAGTTACCCCATCAATGACGAAGGCTGCCTTTTTGCATTCTATGCTGTGAATCACAGATGGCTTTTTGTCCTAGCCATAATAAAATCAGTCTAATTACTTAATTTTTGGACCTTGTATATGTAGAGCACCCATATGTTTACAGACCAATCGGCACTAGGTAGGTAAAGTGGTCAGCATTAGCTTGGCTGTCTTTACTTCCCCATGACATCCATCTTGCTATCCATTTTTAGCTGGTTCAACCTGCGACGCCCATACCATGATAAAAATCCACGCAGCCAGCAGTGGGTTTCGATCACGGCACTTTGGAATTACGAGTCGGACTCCCAACGCCTAAGCCACGGTCAAGGTCAGCCTCTACTGCGATATAAAAGATGTTTGCAAGCGGGAGATGAATGATACAGGTATTGAAGTAAATTCGTGGGAACAAAATGTCAACAGTGGGAATGGTGGGTGGTCAGGAAAGGAAAAAGAATAAAGACGTCTGAGGTTTGAACAACGTATCAACATCATGGCTTAATGACATCCGTCAGTCCCGGGGGTACTATGGAGATGTGCCGCTGGCTTTGGGAACAGCATCTGCTGTGACTGTAAAGTCCGATGCGGGAATGGCAGTCTTTGCCACACAGGATACACACAAAAGCAGATACTCCCTCGTTGTGAGGCAGTTTTACTCTCCGGTGCCTCCTCTCCACAGCTCGTTGTGTTCGATTTCTTTCAAAATGTGACAGTCCGTCTTTCACTTTCTGTCTCCATAGTAGTCGACCTGCAGCTGATTTTTCCCATGTCACTGTGCCTATGTTGGTATCTATTAGGTCAAGTTTGCATACATCTTTATAGCGCAGCTTTGGCCTTCATGTAGGTCTATTCCAGTCACCAATTCACCATATAGGAGATCTTTTGGAATACGACCATCCTCCATGCTGGAGACATGTCCCAGCCAGCGCAGACGTCTTTGCTTCAGTAAACAATACATTGATGGTATTCTTGCTCTTGTGAGCACACATTCGTTGGAGACAAGGTCTCGCCATAATATACCAAGGATGCGTCTCAGACAGCGCATATGGAAGGTATTCAGTCTTTTTTCCTGTGGAGCATAGAGAGTCCAGGATTCGCAGCCGTACAGTAATGTGCTCAGGACACAAGACTCATAAACCTTCATTTTTGTATTATCAGTTAGCTTTTTGTTTAACCAGACTCTCTTTGTGAGATTTGCAAACATAGCAGAGGCCGTTCCTATACGTTTGTTTAGTTCTTCATCCAGAGAATAATTGCTTGAGATACGTGAGCCTAGGTACTCAAACTCATTTACAGCCAGCAGCTGATGGTCATGCACACTAATGTTTGGTGGATTTCCAACATTCAATCCCATCACTTGTGTTTTGTTCAGACTGATGGTAAGCCCAAATTCTATGCAAGCATTTGCAAAGCGATTCATCAGGATCTGCAAATCATCCTCTGAATGTGCCACAATGGCTGCATCATCCGCAAACAGAAAATCCCTGAGGCATCTCGTGTGCACCTTCGTCCTTGCACGTAGCCTGGACAAATTAAAAAGATTGCCATCTGACCTCGAACGGAGGTATATCCCCTCAGTTGCTGTCCCAAATGCACGCCTCAATAATGCGGTAAAAAAATGCCAAACAGCTTGGGAGCCAGAACATATCCTTGCTTTACTCCATTTCGAATCTGGAAGGGTCGAGATGATGAATCCTCTAATATTATGGTCCCCCTCATATTCTCATGAAAGGATTTGATTAGGCTCAGTAGTATAGGTGGGCGTCCATATTTTTCAAAGATCCCGAATAGACCATCTCTGCTGACATAGTCAAAGGCCTTAGTGAGATCTATGAAAGCAATGAGCAGTGGCCTCTGTTGCTCTCTGCACTTCTCTTGTAGCTGCCTGGTGGAGAAGATCATATCAACTGTTGATCTCTTGGCCCTAAACCCACACTGTGATTCCGGGTATATTCTGTCCGCTAGAATTTGCAACCTGTTTAGGATAACACGAGCAAAGACTTTTCCCACAAAAATTCAATAGAGAGATACCGCGATAGTTGTTGCAGTCGCTTCTATCTCCCTTATTTTTATAGAGAGTTATAATGTTGGCATCTCTCATATCCTGTGGCACCGATTTTTCTTGCCAACACTGACAGATGATCTTGTGTAGCTCAGGAAGAATAGCATCCTTGGAGCATTTTAGGATTTCAGGTGGGATACCATCCTCTCCTGGGGCCTTCCCTGAAGGAAGCTCATCTACGGCCTCACCGATTTCTGTGACGGAGGGTTCCGTGTCTAGTTCACCCATGGTTGGCAGACACTCCATTGCATTTAAGGCCTCTTCACATACAAAGGTGCTTGTAGCATATAGCTCTGAGTAGTGCTCCACCCAACGTTCCAGCTGCCTTGTCCGATCCTTTATGATTTCGCCCGTGGTTGATTTGAGAGGGGCAATCTTTCTTTTTACGTCGCCGGTGATACCAAGGGAAAGGCAAAAACCAGTACAACTTGGCACTGAGGACGTTGCAGGAATTGCCGGAATAGCACTGTATACAATGCTAAACCGCCTTAAAGATTCAAGCTCCGGATTTTTTATCAGGGTTTACTCCCGAAGCGCTTTCCCAAACATAGGTATAGCCACAAGGCAGTGGAGGTGTGTAGTCAGAGTTTACCTTCTCCTAGATGAGCTGCACTCCCGTACTGACGAGCCTCATCTACCCGAAGCGTCTGGTTAAAGCGCCAGAGACCCGCTTTCGCCCCTTCTCCTGTTAGTTTAAACATCTCCGCTACGAGAAGGCCCTATGTGCTCCGTTCTTCTTCTAACTCAAGTCTGAGTCCGAAGAAGCTCAGCACAGTGCACAGGCGCTGTAGCACCGGCGAGGATCCTGAAATACTTTAGGTAGATTTTATACTCCAAATTTTGCCCAGTCAGCGCCGTTAGGCTAATCTTTTTGATTTCCAACTGCCAAGAGATTTGCCAACAATGCACACGGGCGACTGATCTCCCTACCCAGAGACCTAGGGGAATTACTAGAAGTACAAATCCACGCAAAAAAACCCAGCCCTTACCGGGGATTGAACCCGGAACCTCTAGCACTGGAGGCGAATACCATGCCTCGATGCCACTCAGCCCTCCCCCACCTTCCTTGCCACTAAATACATGTGGTGGCAACAGCGATCTGAAATCCTAGTCCCTAATTGTAGAAGACTGTTCCTCGCAATGCTGGGTCCTGCTAGTCATCCTCGCCATCGCCATGGGGTCTCATCTTAACACCTAGCACTTCTTCTTCTTCTTCACTTCCTCTTTTACCGCTGTGGGTGTCGAGGGAGATATAAGGTTCTGTTTCTAGCTCTTCTGGCTGCCTCGACCATAGGCACATCGTGTTGTTGTAGAGTTTCTCTGATGTTATCGTTCCATCTTGTTCTTGGTCTACCCCGTGCTCTACGTCCTTCTTCTCTTTCCATGTATGCTTTGTATGGTATGGTGTCACAAGGCATTCTCTCTAAGTGGGCAAACCGTTTCACTTGCTGTCTTTGTATGTAATCTAGAATTGGTTCTGTGCCGACTTGTTCTCTTATGATCTCATTCCTGATCTTATCTCTTATGGTCACTCCTACAGCCCTTCTCAGACATCTCATTTCATTGGTTACTAATTTTCTTTTATGGTTTGTTGTGAGTGACCATGTCTGGCACTGGTAGCACAGAGTTGGAATAAATATGCTTTGAAAAAGATGTCTCTTTGTGCCGATTAGGATTGTCTTATGCTGAAAGAGGGGGGCTAGCTGTCCTAATACTTGGTTTGCTTTACTGCATCTAATGTCAATTTCTTTATCCAGTTTCCCATCTTCGGTAAATGTAGTTCCCAGATATTTAAACTCAGATGCCTGTTTAATGCCTTTACATTCTATTGCTATGTTTAGATCTGTCTTCTTTTTTCCTATTGACATTACTTCTGTCTTTTCAGTGTTGATTCTCATATTATTTGTTTTACATTATTCATTCATGGATGTTAGATGTTGTTGCAATTTCATGGCTGTATCTGCTATCAAGGCCTGGTCATCTGCAAAGAGTAATTCGTTGATCTCACTAAGATCTTCATTCGTGGGCTTGGCATTCTTGCATATACTGTCGATGTAGGTGATAAACAGCAGTGGTGATAAGACACACCCCTGTCTTACTCCAGATGTCACTGTGAAAGGATGAGATGTTCCCTGATTTATTCTAACTACACTTCTACAATCCCTGTATAAACTTTTGCACACTTCGATTAGGTGTTCCCTTACTCCATATCTTGCCATTATTAATGTCTACCTAGCACTAGACAACACTATTTTCTGGAAAGACGGAAAGGTTTCAACAATAATTTTTTTATATATACAGTAGACATATTTTTGTTTCATTTCTTTCGTTTTTTTTATACATTTTTTTGTCCAGTTTGTTTCGTTTCGCTTTTAATAATTCACGAATAATTTTAAAAGATGTCGTTCAACTGTCCCGTAGCGGACCAAGAACTAGTAGGTCACTTCTGTTGATTCTTTTTGTCCTGGTCAGTGCACGGTAGAATTCGAACTATGTGGTTTTGCTGTTGTCCCAAGAACACAGAAGAAGAGGTAGCGAACTTATTATTGCTCATAATTCTTATTCCATTGTGTACTCAGTGTTAGAGAATTATATTTGCACTCCCTATTATTGTTGTTGACTTATGCTGGAGTAGTTTATCAGTAATAGGGAAGTAGTAATGTGCTGTTACAGTTTGTTAATAGCAGTAGCAGTAGTAGTAGCAGCAGCAGTAGCAGATGAAGTAGTAGTAACAACAGTAGCAGATGAAGTAGTAGTAATAGCAGTAGCAAATGAAGTAGTAATAACAGCAGAAACAGCAGTAGTAGTTGCAGCAGTAGTAACTTTAGCATCAGTAGCACTAGTAGTGAAAGTAGCAGCAGTGGTAGCAGAAGTAGTAGTAGCAGTGGTAGCAGCAGTAGTAGTAGCAGGGGTAGCAGCAGTAGTAGCAGCAGTGGTAGCAGCAGCAGCAGTAGCAGTGGTAGCAGCAGCAGCAGTAGCAGCAGCGATAGCAGCATCAGTAGTGGCAGTAGTAACATCAATTAAAATAGTACTAGCAGTAATAGTGGCATCAGTAATAGTAGCAGCAGTAGTAAAAGTCGTAGTAATCGTAGTAGTAATATTAGTAGTAACAGTAATAGTAACAGTAGAAATAGCAGCAGTAATAGTAGTGCGAATAGTGGTTGAAATAGCAGTAGTAGTGACAAACGTAGCAGTAGTAGTCACAGAGGTAGCAGTAGTAGTATTCGCAGTAGTAACCACAGCAGTAATCGTATCACTTGTAGTAGCAATAGTAGTAGTAATAGCAGTAGTAGCAGCAGCAGTAGTCGTATAAGTAGTAGTATCAATAGTAATAGTAACATCAGCAGTAGCCGTAGCAGTAGCACTGACTGGTGGTAATAGAAATAGCAGCAGCAATAGCCGTAGTAGCAGTAGCAGCAGAAACAGTAGATGTAGCAGTAGCTTCATTAATAGCAGTAGCAGTAATGGTAGTAGTAGCAGTAGTAGTAGTAGTAGTAGTAGTAGTAGTAGTAGTAGTAGTAGTAGTAGTAGTAGTAGTAGAAGTAGTATTAAAATGAGTCGTAGCAGTGGGAGGCGTAGAAGTAGTAGTAGCAGCAGCAGTAGTAGCTGTGGTGATGGTGTTGGTAGTGGTGGTGCTAGGAGTAGCAGTAGTAGCGGCAGTAGTATAAGTAGTAATAATAGTAGTCGCATTACCGAGGAATGTAGTTACAAAGTGATAGATTTAACATACATATGTTGTGTTTCGTTGAGAACTTACGACATTTCCATAAGCTCGCCGTCCTCGTTTTCAGCAGCTGGCGAAGGTTTCTAATTCCAGTGCTGCCTGAGGCAGTCTGAATGTAATTTCTTCCTGCCTCTCCTTGGAGTGTAGAGTATCGACCATATTCCCCGGGTTGTTCGTAGCTGAGCACGGTACTACAAACCATAAAGTACTGTTTTTTCTCCTCCCAAGGCACCCCAGCCATACGTAGTTTGTCATGTATAAATTCACCACAATGTGTTGCAGAAGCACTGTATATATCCGCCTGCTCATTTCTCAAAGCATCTGTATGCTAAAGAGAAACGGTGGTACAATAATTAGTAGTAGTATTGGTAATGTAGTAGTAGTAGTAGTAATAGTAGTAGTAGTAGTAGTAGTAGTAGTAGTAGTAGTAGTAGTAGTAGTAGTAGTAGTAGTAGTAGTTGTAGTAGTAGCAGTAGTAGTAGTAGTAGTAGTAGTAGTTGTAGTAGTAGTAGTAGTAGTAGTAGTAGTAGTAGTAGTAGTAGTAGTAGTAGTAGTAGTAGTAGTAGTAGTAGAGAAGAAGACGAGAGAAAGTGACAGAGAGAGAGTACAGAGAGTCAGAGAGACTGGAGAGAAAGACAGAGAGAGATAGAGAGTCAAAGAGACTGGAGAGAAAGACAGAGAGAGAGAGCGAGAGTGTGAGCTGTGAGAATATAATGTATATGTGTTTGTTTGTGTGTGTGTTCCAGTGAGTTAGTAGGCGACTGAGAGAGAGAGAGGGAGAGAGAGAGAGAGAGAGAGAGAGAGAGAGAGAGAGAGAAAGCACAGACTTGGAACAGGGATGTTTACAGACACCCTATTAGTAGACCGTGTCTATGCCACTCAAGCCACAAACAACAATGATCCACATTCTAACAGTGAATCTATTTCTGTCTACTAGCAGAACCCGGAAACCAAACACACTACACCTCATGTGGCATCCCAAGAGGTATGTATCTGACAAGAAACTGGGAGAGAGAGAGAGAGAGAGATAGAGAGAGAGAGAGAGAGAGAGAGAGAGAGAGAGAGAGGGAGGGAGGGAGAGAGAAAGAGAGAGAGACACACACACACAGACAGAGACAGAGAGCGAGCGAGAGAGAGTGTGTGTGTGTGAATAAACAATAATGCATGTCTGTGACTGGCTGCTATGCTAGACAACTCCTACTGGATACGTTGAGCATGGAGACGCTAAGATGGCTACTGGTTGCTATGCCAGTCAACTCCTACTGGATACGTTGAGCATGGAGACGCTAAGATGGCTACTGCTGGCTATGCCAGTCAACTCCTACTGGATACGCTGAGCGTGGAGACGCTAAAATGGCTACTGGTTGCTATGGCAGTCAACTCCTACGGGATACGTTGAGCATGGAGACGCTAAGATGGCTACTGGTTGCTATGGCAGTCAACTCCTACGGGATACGTTGAGCATGGAGACGCTAAGATGGCTACTTGTTGCTATGGCAGTCAACTCCTACAGGATACGTTGAGCATGGAGACGCTAAGATGGCTACTGGTTGCTATGCCAGTCAACTTTTACTGGATACGTTGAGCATGGAGACGCTAAGATGGCTACTGGTTGCGATGCCAGTCAACTCCTACTGGATTCGTTGAGCATGGAGACGCTAAGATGGCTACTGGTTGCTATGGCAGTCAACTCCTACAGGATACGTTGAGCATGGAGACGCTAAGATGGCTACTGGTTGCTATGCCAGTCAACTCCTACGGGATACGTTGAGCATGGAGACGCTAAGATGGCTACTGGTTGCTATGCTAGTCAACTCCTACTGGATACATTGAGCATGGAGACGCTAAAAGAGCTACTGCATCAGATGACGCATGGGTAGGACCGATGTGTTAGACAAAGATATCGTGTATTTGTTGTTAGTGTGTCAGATGTAAAGATTGTCAATGCAAAGATTGAACAGCCTTAAAAGTCTATGGTTAAGCACCAGCAAGGAGATAAAAATTAGAATTTTGAGAGCATGCATCTTCCCTGTGGCCACATACGGATGTGAGTCGTGGACTATCTCTCAGTCCTTAAGAAAGAGAATAGGGGCTTTTAAGCTGAAATGCTATAGAAAAAGTCTCAGAATATCTTGGACAAAGAAGATAAGAAATATTGACAACTTAAAAGATCTGAACATCAAGGAAGATTGGCTAATAAACAGCATCCTTTCTCGAAAGCTGAAATATTTTGGTCATATCAAGCGCCACGACGGATTGGAAAAAAATTATAGCAGAAGGCATGGTACCAGGAAGGAGGGGCAGAGGCCGACTGACACGAAGATCGTCACAGGATATAAGTGACTCCTTGAGTGTGAAAGTTCATGAGGCGGGAGAACTGGCGAGAGACCGAGTTTCTTTCAGGCAGACTGTGATGAGAGCGACATTCTGCAAAGGACCTGCTACATGATGATGATGTTTCAGAAGTATGTCTGTGATGTGTATATGCGTGTCTGTCTATCCGCTCACATCTGCGTGTATTTGTCTGTAGCTTTCTCCGCACGCGTGTGTGGATGTGGATTTGTATGTGTGTCATTTCACAGTGAGCTATTAACGGGAAACGAACTACTTTTGTCAATGTAAATGAGTCTTCATAAACAGCAAAAACAATCATGTAAATGAGTCTTCATAAACAGCAAAAACAATCATGTAAATGAGTCTTCATAAACAGCAAAAACAATCACGTAAATGAGTCTTCATAAACAGCAAAAACAATCATGTAAATGAGTCTTCATAAACAGCAAAAACAATCATGTAAATGAGTCTTCATAAACAGCAAAAACAATCATGTAAATGAGTCTTCATAAACAGCAAAAACAATCATGTAAATGAGTCTTCATAAACAGCAAAAACAATCATGTAAATGAGTCTTCATAAATAGCAAAAACAATCATTTACATGATTGTTTTTGCTGTTTTTAAAGCTGTGAATGATTGTTTAAAAAACAGAGACAACGTGGCTACTGACGATGGTGTGTGAAGCGTCTAATGCACTTATGAGCCATGGTGATACAGTGGTCATAACACCGGCACCTAATGCTTATCCCGAAAAATGAAAAAAACTGCAGGCGGATGTGGGGAGAATGTGCCTCAGATGCAGACCACTATCTGGGTGGGTGATGTGGTAAGCACACCACCGACCGCCTGTACTTTTTCAGGACTTTTCCCTACTACCCACTCTGGAGCCAAGGTCTGTAAGGACCCAAACCCACGACTTTCCAAACTGCAGGCGAGTGACTAGCCGCTACACCACGGTGGCTGACACATCTGTAAAGGGCAGGCAAAAAAATTTATTTGTCAAATATGTTATCATTTGTACAGTGTTATCTTTATCGCTTGCGTTATTGTTTGATTATACTGTTATAAGTGCGGCGTCCATGGCTTAGGCGTTGCATGGCCGACTCGTTATTCCGCGATCGAAACCTAATGCTGGCTACGTCAGTTTTTATCATGGTCGATCCAGCCTATAATGGGTATGAGGATGTATGTCTTGGGGAAGTAAAGACGGCTGACCACATTACGCACATAGTGCCAATTGATCTGTAAAAAATAGGGGGTGCTCTTTCCATATGCTCAAATGCGCCCAAGGTGTGTACAGGGATCTTTACTTCTTACTTACTGTTATAAAAATTGCAAAATAATGACACTAATGCACACATATATATATATATGCTACACATTGTGTGCAGTATACATATACATATACACGTATACATATAAAGACCAGAAGTGGGCGAAAAGACAGAACTTTCCCGCCCTATTGTTTACAATCTGTGAACGCTTAAAAGAAAAACTTTATTTATAGAAGCGAAATGTTTGTCATGGATACACTGTTGATGCTTTGAACTGCGGTTTAATGGTTTTGTTTCCTTGTTCCTCCCCCGAGTGTGCAGCCTTTGGATGTCAAATTTAAAGGTAGGTACCATGTTGGTGTTGATAGTCTTGTTTCTTAGCGAGCTGATAACCTAATAACCCCCCTTTTTTCAAAGGTGGAAAAAGTAATTCGATAATAATTAAATCTAGCTGTCTGTCTCATTGTATGTGTATGAATGCAAGCAGGTGTGTGTTTGTGTATGTGCATGTGTGTGTGTGTGTGTGTGTGTGTGTAGGAGCGTACATATATATATGTGTGTGTGTGTTTGTGCATATATAAATATCTTTAATTATAATTCAGCCAAAAATTCTTTATCTTCTTCTTCAGCATTGCGAACCCTTGCCGATTTTTGCTGCAGATATCATCCACCTTCATCCATCTCTCCGGTTGACCTTCTTTTTCCAGGTGGTGACACCAAGTGTTTGTAGGTCTGTCTCTGGACAATATCTCTCAGTCGTCTTCTGGGTCTGCCTCGTGGTCCACGACCATTCATCTCCCTGGTGTATACAGTTTTTACTTATTTGTCATCTGATATTCTTTCAATATGCCCCAACCATTTCAGTCTATTAGCTCTCATGATGCCAGTGATCAACAGTGATTTTAAACGGATTATGACTTTCGTTGTTGCTTCTCATTCTCCATTCCGACTATTTGCATTTTTGATGGGTCCAAAGATTCGTCATAAGACTCTTTTTTCAAAAACTTATTATAAGGCTTCATCTCTTTTAGTTGTGCTCCAAGTTTCAGAGCCACATAAAACGACTGGTCTTATAATTCAGCCAAATAAATTAGATAATTGAGCCTGTAAAGATACAGCGTAATATTGCTAAGAAGATAAACACTGTCCAGACACAGCGTTCGCTTATCGTTTATATTTATGACAGTGTCAATCTTTTTGGTTATACTTTTCGTCTGGTTTGATATCTTTTCTTCATATAAAAATTACTGTGTCAAGAAGAATTGACAAGATTCATGCTTATTCTACAGCCGTGCAACCTCATGGCGGTTCTTTTGATGCAAATATCATTTCTGTTCATTTTGTGGTTGGCTTTCTCTTTCCATTTAATGGCAGTGAGTCCAAAACAACTGTTGCAGAGGACTAGACAGTGAAGTTAAAGTGGATGCGGAGGACAAGGGGAGAGAAGTATGCGATAGCGAAGGATAGAACGACTTGATGTGTGCTGGTTGAGGGCCTTGGTCGTATTGGGGGCTAGAAAGGCAGAAGAAGGAAAAGTGCCTGATACTAATACTGTTAGATATTTACCCGGTATAATCACTTGTGAATAGAGCTGTAATGAGGAAAACGGTGTTTTAATAATATCCAACCCCAGATGACGCCTCAGGAAAGTCCAGCATTTAAGAGGGTGGTCAAACTGGGTTTCCCGGCTTTCTGATGCTTTTAACGACCCCAAAAAGCCAAGAATAGGCCCTAACCCCAACCCACATACATCCCACGAGAGAGTGCAGCCTAGGTCCCATGACTGCATGCAGCCTATCTACCACAACTCACATCCGTATGTTGTCACAGGGAAGATGCATGCTTTCAAAATTATAATTGTGTTCTCCATGCTGGTGCTTAACCATAGACCTTTTAGGCTGTTTAATCTTTGCACTGCTTTAGTCATCCTCCTTTTATTTTCTGTCTAACAGTCTCCATTGCAAAAAAAAAAAAAAAAAATAGAGCCTAGATATTCAAAGTTTGTGACATTTTCAATTTCGTCACCATTTATATTGGGGTGTGGGGGGGAGGAGGGGGGGGGGGTGACAGCTAGTTTTATCTGTGGACATTATTTTCGTTATCTTTAAATTCAAGAACAGATTTTGATCTTCACTGTGCTTTTGGGCAGACACTGTGTGTGTGTATGTATATATATATATATATATATATATATATATATATATATATATATATATATATATACACATTTACATTCCACAGACATCAAGGATCTGTTTGATGTTTTCGACCACAACAAAGATGGCCTTATCAGCAGGGAGGAGATTCTCATCAACCTTAGGGCCCTCCGGTTACCTGTCACGTACGATGATGTCAAGGTCATGATGCTAAGGTATGATACAAATGGTGAGTTACATCATCATTACCGTCATCATCATCATCATCATCATTGTAACTATCATTATTATTGTCAGCTTCCGCCCCGTGTTGGGCTCCGGCGCCCCATCGTGAAAAAACTAGAATAGAGTCACTGCTTTCCAAACAAGCATGTCGTAGGAGTGGACTAACTGGGAGCTTCCATCAAAGTCCGACTGCAATCCGCCTGGGTGACAAGGAAGAACCAACTGCACTCAGATAAGCCAGTAAAACGAACGCAAAGGAACAAACAACCAGGACTTTCCGCCGGAGCTTCTAACCGATGAACATTGAAGAAGAGGAAGAAGAAGAAAAAGAAGAGGAGGGGGAAATCAACTTCCACTACTGCATTCAAGCCTCATGGGGAGCTACCATCATCGGTCCAGCCCTCGAAGGGGAAGCACTGTCTTCCGGTCAAAATGGACGTTAGGCAGCGGCACTGTTCGAAACAGAGGCAAATTTTGTGCTTCTGCCGGACGGTGGCCGATGCATTTTTGCTCCATCTGTAGACTGTATATAGTTTCGTCGCCCAGCTTCTGGGTTGAATGCATAGCGTGACCATGTGAGCTGCGGATTGCATTTGGAATGTTTTTTCGACTGTGACCAACGTGTTGGTGTGAATTGTAGATTCAGAAAATGGCGCGATGCCTGTCGTGCAGTGTTGTGGTGTCCGTATGTGATTAAAATTGATCGCGTGGGCAACTGCTGATCTGTTGGCGACTTCTGCTACCATCAATGATGACCTGCAATTCTAATACTGTGACATTCTGTGTGTTTTTCGTTGGCACAGGAGCGGAGGAAAGATGGGGTGACCCGTTTGCTATGAAGCTGAAACTAAGACTACCAGACTACCAGACTACCAGCACTGTCTATTGTCATTTTGTGCAGACGTACGAGCAGGTTTCAAATGAAGCAATGCGCATCATATCTTGCTGCACCAAAGTCATACCAAGTAGAGCAGTGAGATACCCACTATTATCTTCCAGATTGTTTGTCTGTTTTAGTATCCAGAGGCCATGAGTTGTTAACCCTTAGGCTCGGTATTTTGGATATCGCAACCCTTCGGCCTTGATTCCATTGTAACTACCGTAAATCTGGGAGAAATGTGGCTTTTCTGCCTACCCCCGGGAGTGAACTCGGACCACAAGGAGTTCGTCACCCGGTCACCGCGCATTTCGGTTTAGCCAACTACGCTAGAGAGCCGGACTTATCTTCCAGATATAAACAGCAGGCTTAAAATGCACCAAGCATGGGCCTACCACAAAGGCACCAAGATCTTTATACACCACACTGCACGATGAACTGAATACACGTAAAGGCAACAAACAGACAAACGAGGCCAGCCTTGGTTGTGTGGGACAGAGACGGTACTTCAACGGGCGATTTCCCTTCAAGACATGAACCTTTTAGGGGAATGAATACCAGTACCAAACGAACACAAACAGTACTTTGTGATAGTTATGATCCTGACAAGACTATGCTATGATTTGGCGCCACCAGTAGTTGATGCAGAAGTGAAGGCAATAGTGGAGGAACACACATCACCGGAAGATGCTGTTTTATATACACAGACCAGATAATTTTGTGATTCGTCAGAAGCGAAGAGCATGGACTTTCACAGCAAGAACTATTGGAATTGTCATCAAAGAAGACAGGGAAACCTTGATTCTACTAGCAGCAGTATGACAATGGAGGTCATGGCTGTGACCAAGGCCCTAGAATAGCTTAAAACTGCATGTCATCCCGAAACAGAATTTTAAAAAGTAAAAAGTAAAGGACCCTTTTCCAAGCCTTTATGCATATAGGGCATATAGGGCTAGACCTATATTGTTATAGACCAGTCGGCACAAGATGGGAGATGTGGTCAATATCACACCAGCCGCCTTTACTTCCCGGAATGTACCCGGTACTCATTCAAGGCTGGGTCGACCTGGGAGCCAAGGTCATTTTTGAAAATAGTCGGCTCCGACAGGGAGCGAACCCACGGCCCTTCCGATCCGCAGCCACGGCGACCCCCCGAAACAGAATAGGACAGGCAAAAACTACATTTTATAAAATGAAAAACATCTTGTGCAATGTATCGTTGTCATTGAGAGTTAAAAAAAATAATTCTTGCTTGCTACATACATCCAGTTTTAACATATGACTGAATCCTGGACAATCGGTAGGCAGGCCAAACAATTTCTAGAGGCCTCAGAGATGTGGTTTTACAGAAGAATGCTTAGAATACCTTGGACAGCCCAGAAAAAAAAAAAAGCAACTAAGTGGATTTGAAAGAAGCGGGAGCCCGAAGAAACTTATCACAGACATCAGAAAGAGACAGTCATCATTTTTCTGCCATGTTATGAGAAGAGGGAAAATAGAACATGTTGTGACCACTGGAAAGATCTGTGGAATGAGAGATAATACAACGAAAGAAGATGCTTGACAGTCTTGTTGCAAGGCATAGGGGTGTGTCGGCACACGAACTGATACATGCTGCAGGAGATCGCAGATTGTGGAGAGGCATGATCGCCCAGGCCAATCGGCAAGGCGCCTGATAATGATGATGATGTTATCCCGGCGACTCACTGAGCATTCTACAGAAGATCAAGGCGGAGTATGCTCGGAAACAGTGGCTCCATTTGATACAGCATGCAGCGTTTCGCAAAATAGCTTCAATTATTGACCCAAGCTATGCTGGTGTGAATGGGAAGGAGAGAGCAGAAGCCCTGGCTAGCGGTGCTACTATCAAGAATAGGCCCTGTATGGACAGAAGAGACAT